AAAAGAAAAGAAAAGAAAAGAAAAGAAAAGAAAAGAAAAGAAAAGAAAAGAAAAGAAAAGAAAAGAAAAGAAAAGAAAAGAAAAGAAAAGAAAAGAAAAGAAAAGAAAAGAAAAGAAAAGAAAAGAAAAGAAAAGAAACGAAACGAAACGAGGCTGGGGCTAGCAGAGGGAAGCAGGTTAAGGCAGCTGGGTCTCACATGGCCTTGAGGGCAGCCTTGTCCCTTCCACCAGGTCAGGACGTGGAGAGAAGACGCCATCTATGAACCAGAGTGAGTCTTCACTAGACCCCAAGCCTGTTGGTGCCTGGACTTTATTTCATTTTTATTTATTACTTTATTTTTAGTTTTCTGGGTGCATGCGGTTCCCAAAAAGAGGGGAAGAAAGAGAGAAATCACCCCTCAGGGGGATGGCCACATAGCCATCATTTTTCCTCCATTGTCCTCTCAGGATTTTGGACGTGGACACACATGCGCCCAGCGTGATTTTCAAACTGCTAGGTCTGGGACTCGAACCGTGGTTAGTCATGTGGCAGTCCAGCGCCTTACCCACCAGGCCACCTGCTGGCTCCATGATGTTAGACATTTCCATGGCTTAGAAGACTGTTCCCAGAGGTTCACGTGCGGGAATTTGGTGCCCTGTGCAACAGCGTTAGAAGGTGGTGAGAACTTATAAGAGGTTATTGCCTAGGGGGTGGTGTTTGGGTCATGGGGGTAACACCCTCGCAAATGGATTAAGGATGTCTCGTGAGATGATGTGAGTTCTGGCTCTCCTGGGAAGTGGTTAGCTCCCGTGAGAGCGGGTTGTTATAAGAGGAAGACAGCTTGTCCTCGGGTCTTTCTCTGCACGTGCTCACCACCCTCTGCTTCTGCAGGCCACGTTGAGATGCAGCACCAGAGGCTGACCTGATAGTAGCCCCCCACCCCACTTTGGACTTTCTGGTCACCAGAACTGTAAGCCAAATAAAGTCTCTGTTTTTTTTTTTTTTTTTTTCTTTTTAAGAGAGAGTTTGGTTATAGGTTGAGTGTATTCGCTGCTCTGTGAGGCTGACCCAAGTGGAAGCATTCAGGATTCGTGCCCAGAGACCTGTGAACATGCCAAATGCATGCATGCTTGTGATCCAGGGCACCAAGGCTGGGGCTAGATTGTGATACAAGGACCCTGTTGGGGGTACCTGGGGGATGGCCACACTGCAATCCCTTCTCTGTTCTCCTCTGTGTCTCCGTTTCTCCACTCAATGAGAAACATAACGAAAAAACTTTAAAAGAATGCAGTTAAATCCCTACCTCACACCATATACAAAATTAAATAAAAAGGAATCAAAGATCTATATATAAGAGCTAAAACTATAAAACTGTTAAAAGAAAACACAGGGACAGGAACCAGCAAGCAGATGGCGCAATGGTTATGTTGCTGGACTCCCATGTAGTCGACCATGGTTCGAGTCTCACACCCGGTGGCTTCAAACTCACACCAGGTGTATATGTGTAGGTGCCCAAAATTCCAAGAGGAGAATGATGGAGAAGGGATTGTGATGTGGCCATCCTCCTTTGGGGGATGATTTCTTGCTTTCTAGCTCTCTGTCTCTCTATCTCTCCAGTGAACACACACACCCTATAGCAACAACAACAACAAAAACACAGGGTAAATCTTATAGACTTTGGATTCAGCAATGGGTTCTGAGATATGGCACCAAAAGCAAGAGCAACAACAGCAACGACAAAACATAGATAAACTGATTTCACCAAACTTAAAAGCTTTTTGCTTTGGAGGACACCATTGAGACAATGAAAAGACAATCCACACAATGAAGAAAAATATTTGAAAGTCATGTACCGGATAAGAAGTCTTTAAAAAGTCAGTTACAAAAATACAAATGACTGAACTTAAAAACACACAAGGCATACGAATTGACTTGTCCCCAAAGAAGATATACAAACAGGGGAAAGCCCAAGAAAAGATGCTTGGTGTCACAGAGAAGACAATTAGGGAAATGCAAAGCAAAACCACACTGCGGTGCTGCCACACCCACTAGAACAGCTAGAACAAAACATGGGAGGCAACGAGAGCTTGCAAGGCTATGAGGACACTGAGCCCTCATACTCTGCTTAGGGAAGGTGAGATGCTACAGCCACTGTGCAAAACAGGTGCTTCCTAAACAGGTTAAACAAATGAGGGGTCTTCAAACAGGTTCCTGGAAAATGTGTATAATGAAAAAACCATGCACAGATTGCAAAATATTCTTGCATCATAACACTCATACTTTAGGGTTAGTTTTTTGTTTTGTTTTGTTTTTTTCTTTTTTTTTCTTTTTTTTTTTTTTTGAGAGAGAGATTGTTGCTATAGGGTGTGTGCACTCGCCAGAAAGACAGAGAGACAGAAAGCAAGAAATCATCCCCCCGGGGGGGAGGGCAACACTGCAATCCCTTCTCTGTTCTCTTGGGATTTTGGACACGTATGCACACATGCCCTGAGTGAGTTTTAAGCTGCTGGTCCCTAGGTTTGTTTCGCTGTAAACTTCTGAAGTCCCTTCACAGAGTCACCAGAAGGCCCGGCAATTTTATTCTCAAGTATTCAGTGGCGGGAAATGAAAACATATGTTTAAACAAGAACTTGTACACACCCATGCCCAGCAGCAGTAGTCAACTGTCTTAACAGTGAAAAAAAAAAAAAAATCCATCAATTGATAAAAAAGGATGAATAAAATGTGGGCCATCCACACAATGGGGTATGACTCAGTCGTAGGAAGGAACGAAGCTCTGACCCGGGTTACAGCATGGGTGAGCCTCAAACACGCGATGCTGAGTGAGAGAAGCTGGACACCAAAGGCCACAGGGTGTAGGACCCATTGACATGGAATGTCTAGAACAGAAAAGGTGGTGGAGAAAGCCCGTGGCTGGGGGAGGAGGGAGGCAGGAATGGGGATGAGTGGAATGAGTACTACGGATCGCGGGGATTCTTTGTGGGTAAATACAAATGTTACGGAGCTAGATATACACGATGGCTAAGCAATACAGCGAATATGCTAAAACCCGCTAAATTGGGGACCAGCAGTTAGCGTAATGGCTATGTCGCTGGACTCTCACATAGTCGACCGCAGTTCGCGTCCCGGACCCGGTGGCTTAAACTCACGCCAGGCGCGTGTGCATATGTGCCCAAGATCCCGTGAGTAGAATGGAGGAGAAGGGATTGCGGCATGGCCATCCCCCCTGGGGGGTGATTTCTCGCTTTCTATCTCTCTGTCTATCTGTGTCTGGTGAGCACACGCGTCCTATAGCAAAAACCTCTCCAAAAAAAAAAAAAAATCCGCTAAATTGTATGCTTTCACATAGTTACTCATTGGGGCCAGCAGGTGGCACGGTGGTTAAGGTACTGGACTCGCACGTGGCCAACTCTGTGGTTCGACTCTAGAAGCAGCAACTTGGAAATCACACTGGATGCTTGTGCATGTGTACCCGAAATGCCAAGAGGAGAACGAGAAGGGACTGTGGGGTGGTCATCCCCCTGGGCGGTGAGCTCTCTCTCTCTCTCTCTCTGTGTCTATCTCTCTCTGGCGAGTATACAAGCCCTATGGCAAAAACCTAAAAAACAGTGACTATTGGGCCACCCCATGGCGTGGTGGTGAAGGCGGCTGGATCCCCCATGGTCGCCAGCATAGCTCAAGCCCCAGACATGACAGCTTAAGAAATATACCAAAGGGGCCAGCAGTTGGAGTAGTGGTTATGTCACTGGACCCCCCACATAGCTGACCATGGTTCAAGTCCTAGACCCGGTGGCTTAAATTTACACTGGGCGTGTGTGTGTGCGTGCCCAAAATCTCGAGAGGAGAATGGAGGAGAAGGGATTGTGGCATGGCCATCCCCCTGGGTGGTGATTTCTTACTTTATGCCTCTCTGTTTCTCTCTGTGTCTCTGGTGAATTCATGTGCCCTATTAAAAAAATCTGTCCAAAAAAAAAGAGAGAAATACACCAGGTATATGTGTATGCATGCCCAAAATTCCCAAAGGAGGGAAAAATGGAGGAGAAGGGATAGTGGTGTGACCACACCCCATGAAAGCACAACCTTTCTACCCTCCTCTCCAACTCTCTCTGAGTTCATGTGCCCGCTGGTAAAAATATTTTTTTTAAAAGGGTGGGGGTGTTACGTTACATGACTTATACCCTCAATTTTAAAAAGAGAAGCCTCTGCATATTGTTATAGGTGACTTTTAATTTTTATTTTGATTTTTTTTTAGTTTTTGCCTTAGGGTACATGCACTCGCTGGAGAGAGATAGAGACAGTGAGAGAGAAAGTGAGAAATCACCCTCTGGGGGAGTGGACATGCTGCAATCCCTTCTCCTCCATTCTCCCCTTGGGATTTTAGGCACGCATGTACATGTGCCCGGCGTGAGTTTAAGCTACTGGGTCTGGGACTCGAACCACGGTCAGCCATGTGGAAGTCCATCAACGTAACCGCTATGCCATCTGCTGGTCCTGGTTAGAGTTGACTTTTAAAAAATTCACTGGAAGCCGCAAGAGCTCCATTCTGACCCTCGACTCCACATCACCACTGAGGGGAGTCTTCCCGAGCCCCATTTACCACAAAGCAGATCGAACCAAGATGGTTACCATCCTTACCTGTACTTCATTGGTTTTCTGTCTGATTGCCTCTTCCTTTTCTCTAATGTCTTGCTCCAGTGAGAATTTCTCCCTGAATGGATAAAAAATATTTCATGAGGGACCAGCAGGTAGCGTGGTGGTTATAGTGCTAGACTCTCACATGGCCAACTGTGGTTCAATTCCTGGACCTGGTAGCTTGCTTTCTCACTTCCTCTCTCTCTCTCATCAAATTAAAATAAGTAAATAAAGTTAAAAAAAAAAAAAAGTAGCAGTTAAGGTGCTGGACTCCACATGGCTGACTATGGTTCAAGTCCCAGGCTCAGTGGTTTGAAAGTCAGGCCAGGTGCGTGTGCATGTGTGCCCGTAGTCCCAAGAGGAGAGTGGAGGGGAAAGGACTGCGGTGTGACCATCGTCCCTAGAGGAGTGATTCCTCACTTTCTCTCTGTTTCTCTCCAGTGAGTGCATGGGCCGTAGGGACAAAAACCTAAAAAAAAAGAAGAAAAACCACACACACACACACACACACACACACACACAATCAACCATCACAGCAGTGCGTAACTCTGCATCCTGACTTGTCAAGACCCTGCACATCCCCACGAAGACCTGCCCACATTAACCTGTCTCTGTGGTGGGAGAAGTCCACGAATGACCCCCATGACCATGCACCCTATATCCTCCCCTCCCCTGGGGATGCTCTGAGGCATTGCTCCCAATAGAAATGCCCTTGGGGACCAGCAGATGGCGTAATGGCTGTGTCGCTGGACTCCCATGTAGTCGACCGCGTTCGAGTCCTGGACCCAGTGGCTTAAACTTATGCCGGGCGCATGTGTGTGCGTGCCCAAGATCCTGAGAAGAGAATGGAGGAGAAGGGATTGCGGCGTGGCCATCCCCCCGGGGGGTGATTTCTCGCTTTCTATCTCTCTGTCTGTCTGTCTGGTGAGCACACGTGCCCTAAGTGCGTCCTTGCACTGTGAGAAGACTGAGCGAGAAGGACCCATCCTCCAGGTGGGTGGGCACCTTGCCAGCCAAGACCGGCATGTCAGCCAGTGGACTGAAAGAGGAGGGTCCACCTTCGGGGGTGACGTCTTCCACCTGAGTCAGGGTCAGGGTCAGCCATGACCTGGAGCAGCCGTGTGTGGTCTGACGTAGCCACAGCCCTTCCCAGTATGGAAAACTGTTTTTTAAGGGTTATTTTTTTGGCCATAGGGCAGGTGAGCTTGCAGGAGAGACAGACATACAGTGAGAGGGAAAGCAGAAATATCCCCCCACCATGGCCACACCACAGTCCCTTCTCCATTCTCCTCCTGAGATCTGAGGTATGCACACGCATGCTCCTGGCCGGGTCTGGGACCTCAACGGCAGTCGGCCACGTGGGAATGCAGCGCCTTATCCATCATACCATCTGCTGGCCCACCGACGAGGTCTTGTCACTGACAGATAAAGGGCCGAGTCTCAGATGCTGCGTCGCCTGCCTGGGCCCTGGCAGTGAACTCTGTGAAAGGAGCCTCCCGGTCCAGGTCTCTGGCTCCACCCTCTGCAGCCAACCCCTCGGTTTCCTCATGTATTGCTGAGGGCTCGGGCTGGCCCGTCTGCACTGGCGGAGTCCAGCGTAAGGAAATTCAGGCACTTCCCGTATTTCCCCGTCTGGATCTTCTTCGAGAACCATATCCCCTTTCCGGTTCGCTGTGGCGGAGGGGGGGCTCTCGTTCAAGTCCCTTAAGCTAGTTTTGGAGCCTGGAAGGATCTGTGTCTTTTCCTTTCTTGTGAATACACGTGAGCTGGTCAAATTTCCGTGCACCTCTCGCCTGTCTCCAAAGACAACCCGGGAAGAGGTTCGTGCGGGCGACCCAGACGGGAGGAGTGTTTGCAGCGTACCTTTGCAGCTGGGCGATCTCCTGGCTGATGTCGTCAAGCTCCTTCACACCAGTGAACTCCCCTGAGGCCAGAGAGCTTGCACTGTCCTGGAAGGAAATCAGGGGCAACGTCAGTAACTAGCAAACCGGCAGGTCTTAGGCCCAAAGTAAAGGCACCTTCTCTTTAGTTCTAGGGTGAGGTGGGAAAAGGCAATAGCCGGGCGTAATATCCAAGTGGCTAAGTTTGCTCCAGCTCTGGGGCCCCTAGCAAAGGCAGGGACCCGCACGAGGCCCAGGCGGGCTGCAGGGCTCAAGCGATCTACCAGCGCCACCTTGTGGCGGGGGGGGGGGGGGACACGAACAAGAAGGGGTGCGGCGGAGGCCTGCGGCTACTCACCGGGATGGGGGTGCCTCTCTCTGAGGGCGGGACCATGTCCGGCGAGAGGACTTGCGGAGGGTCGATGCCTTTACTGACCTTCTGCTGAATGAAATACATAGCTAACGCGAATTGGTCTTTGCTTAGCTTCCCCGTTTGCCTCGTATCGGCCAGGGCCCTGGGAGAAACGTGGGGAGGCGGATTACTCATCACCGCTGCGGGATTCCGCCGGCCCCACGAGCACACGTCAGCGGAACCCCACTTGGAAAAGACGGCCACACCGGCCAGCAGCTTGGCTGGGTGTTTGGGCCTGGACTTCCACGTGGGCCACCGCAGTCTAAGTCCCAGATCTGGTGGCCTGAAAGATGTCAGGCCTGGGTGCATGCCCAACATCCTGAGAGGAGAGTGGAGGAGGAAGGATTGCGACACGGCCAACTTCAGGGGCGATTTCTCCCTCTCCCTCTCTCTGTTTCTCTCTTCAGCAAGCACACGCTCTGTGGCAAACACGTAAAAAAGAGAAGACACGGGGACCAGCAGTTAGCATAATGGCTATGCCGCTGAACTCCCACGTTCAAGTCCCAGACCCGGTGGCTTAAACTCACACCGGGCGCGTGTGCGTGCGTGCCCAAGATCCTGAGAGGAGAAGGGATTGCGGCGTGGCCATCCCCCCTGGGGAGTGATTTCTTGCTTTCTGTCTCTGTCTTTCTGGCAAGCATATGTGCCCTGTACGAAAAACCTCTCCGAGAAAAAAAAAAAAAAAAGATGACACCAAAAACTGCAGGGTGCCGTGGGGAGCCCCAGCTTCACACCCCACTCCCAGCTAGCAGTCCTGGGACACCGCCCCCGCCCTGCGCCATCCCCAGACAAGCAGGCTGCCCTAAGGTTGATAATGGAGGGGCAGCTGGGGCAGAACGGGGAGGGGTCCTCATCTGGACTGGAGAACCGCCGGGCCCTCCCTGAGGGCTCAGAAGCCAGTCCCTGGGAGACCTCAGTAACCGTGAGAGGTGACACGGCTCCTTTCCTTATGCGCCACCGTGGGACCGGGCCACAGAGATGGGGGCTGGGGCAGGTGTCTGTGCACCGTCACTGAAGTCCATCCCTGCAGCTCTGGGACATCTGATGGCCCAGGCCGCTGGTTCTTGGTGGGGACCCAAGGAGTCCTTTGGATTGTCACTGTGGTCGGAGACAACCAACAGCCCACCCCTCTCGCTGTGGCTGGAAATCTGCCCCCCCTCACCCCAGTTCCTATCCTGAGCTCCTCGCCCCCCGTGGGATGGTATTGGTGGTGGGGCCTCTGGAGGGGACTCGGTCGTGAGGGTAGAGCCCTCATGAGTGGGATTCATGTTCTTATGAAAGGGAGCCCGGGCCCAGTCGTGGTGGCACTGGCAGGGGGATGCTGTTTGTGATAGTGGAGCCACACGGAAGGCCCGAGTTGGGTTCCTGGGTTGACTGAACATCCTGGGAGCATGTGGGCAGTATTGTGGCATGGTGAGACGCAGTCAAGGGTACATGTATGTTCTTTCTCTCTCTAGAAACAAATAAGCCTTGGGACGAGCAGGTAGTGTAATGGTTACACTGCTGGACTCCCACATAGTCAATCGCAGTTCAAATCCTGGACCCAGCAACTTAAAACGCATGCTGGACACGTGTGCGTGTGTGCCCAGATCCTGAGAGGAGAATGGAGAAGGGACTGCAGCGTGGCCATACACCCTGAGGGTGATTTCTCGCTTCCTGTCTTTCAAGCAAGCACACGCGCCCTATAACAAAAATATCTCTCCAAAAGAAAGAAAGAAAGAAAGCTTACCACAAAAGGGGGAGAGGGGACCCTCAGAGAGCTCTGCTTCTGCCATGTAAGCCATGCAAGCACACAGAAGGTCTGCGAACCAGAACGTGGGCCTGCACCGGACACTGGGTCTAGCTGTACCTAACACTGGACTTCCAAGCCCCCAGAACCGTGAGAAACTGGTTTAAGTCATCCTGTTTGTGGTAGTTTGTTGCAACAGCTCAAATGGACCAAGACCCTCCTCTTGTGCCCAAAAAGGCTACCTCAAGGGAGTGGCCACACTGCAAGGGACAGTTCCTCGCAGCTAAAGCAACCCTCGCCCTCGTGGCTATCGGATGTCCTGAGAGAGGGGAGCACATGGCTGGGGTTGGACACTGCACAACACTCACGGGAATCAAGGAGCTGGCCACTGAGGGAAGGGAAGCTTTGTGTAGTCAGGGTGCGGCCTCGACACCTGTGAGGAATGTCCTCCCAGGGCGAGTTCACGGCCTGGTAGCTGGGGAGCGAGGTCCCACATGACCAAAAGCACAGCTCAAGTCTTGCTTCACTCAGACTGCCCACATCAAAGAGCTTCTTAGCTTCTCGTTTCTGACCTCCCGTGTAGTTACCGCAGAGGCAAAGACACACGGCTTTCTAGTGCAGCGAAGAGAGTTGGGGAGATACTAACAGATTTAGGCCTAAAGGCTGTCAATGAATGGGACAACGGGAAAGGGCCAGACTTCACGACGTTGCTGATAAAGGCTGTTTTTAAAATGTACATGTGCAAGGCCAGCAGGTATCACGTTGGCCGAGGTGCTGGACTCCCACACGGCCAGCTGCAGTTCGAGTCTCGGACCTGGTGGCTTGCTTTCTCACTTTCCCTCTCACGCTCTCTCTCTCTGGTCAAATTGAAAAAATAATAAAATAAATAAAATTCTTAAAAATGTTGAGGGACCAGCAGATCACATAACAGTTATGTCACTAGACTCTCACTTAGTTGACTCTGGTTCAAGTCCTGGACTCGGCGGCTTAAAACTCACAGTGGGTGCACGTGTGTTAAGTAACCAAAATCCCGAGAGGAGAATGGAGAAGGGATTGTGGTGTGGCCATCCTCCTGGATGGGGGTGGATGATTCACTGGGGGGGGGGAGTAATTTCTCACTTTCTGTGTCTCTAGTAAGCACACATGCCCTATAGCAAAAAATATATATATATAAAAAATATATATATATATACATATAAAAGAAATCATGTGTAGGGCCAGAGGGTGGCATGGTGGTTAAGGTAGCTGTATTTCATATGGTCAACTATGGACTTGGTGGTTTGAAAAAAAAAAAAGTGTGTGTGCACTCATGCCCAAAATCCCAAGAGGAGAATGGAGGACAGACTGTAGCATACTCGTGCTCCCTGGGAGATGTTTTCTGAAATTCCCTCTCTTTTTCTGTCTCTCTCTGGGAAGTACACCTGCCCTCTGGCAGATGAAATTTTGTAAACCCTACGTGGGGACTAAGAGGAGGAGGAGGGCGGACACGTAGCACAGTGGCGAAGCACTGCGTACAGAAAGCCAGCTCCCACTTGGCCAGCTGTGGTTCAAATCCTGGCCCCGGCTGCTTTCAAAACACACTGGGGGAGCCAGCGGATGGCATCACAGTTACACTGCTGGACTCCCACATGGCCAGCCAAGGTTCGAGTCGTGAACCCGGTGGCCTGAAAATCACAGGGGGGTGTGCGTGTGTGCTTGACCCAGACTGTGACAGGTTGGAGAAATGGAGAAGGGGTTGTGGTGTGGCCTCCCTCTCATACATGTGTGTGCGTGCGATTTTTATCTGTGTGTGCATATATTTATGTATACACACATATTCATACATCTGTATTAGGTCATCAGGAACATCGTGACCTATTTCCCTATGCAAAATAACCTAACACACACACACATGTATATACATACATGTACATATATTTCCATGTGTGTGTATGTATGTCTATGGAGAGTATGCATCCTCTGGCAGATAACATAAATAATAAAGTAACTGCAGATCCAAAGGGGACACTGGAGGCAAAGGTGCTAAGAACCACTGTCCCCGGCTGGCCAGAGGCAGGCGAGGTGAGCACCATCCAGGTGATAAGGGGACGGCCGGCTGACCTCGCGGCCCGGCCCTGGCCTTGCGGCTTGGACGTCTGTTACTGCTGAGGATGGTTATCTCCCCAGACCTCTGAGGTGCGCTAGGTTCATACGGGGCTTGGAGGGATACACGCGCAAGAGTGATACGCAAATTCCTTCCTTATCTCTCCCAAGGAAGAAAGCACCCTCCACGGCCCAGGGCTCCGAGGAACCACCTGGAAGGAGACTTCGCCGCTGGCAAGTCATGACAGGAAGGGTGCTGACCCTGTGACGTCTGCTCTGAGCAGCCCTGGAGGAAAGCGGGATGTACCAGGAGTCAAGGCCCAGGCCTCGCCGAGCAGGGATCCCGACGGCCATGGTGGCTCTTCTAGAGCCAAGGCCCCACTGCGTGCGCCACACAGAGGCAGCAGGGCCGAACATCTGGCCTGCAGCTGGCAGCAGCAGAGGCCAGGCCTCCTAGCTGAATCAGCATAACCACCAGCGAGAACTGAGTCCCCTGGTCAAGCAGATGGCCACAGGGCTCTCTAGAGGGGCCAAAGAGGGGTCCCCCGCCAGACGACAGTAAAACGACTGGCACAGAAGGCAGGGTTCGAGCCTTCGCACTTGCGCCTCCCTTGGCTCCAACAGCTGGGGAAGGGTCCCCGACCACTGGCCTCCTGCCTGCATGAGCGGGCCGCTGTGAGCCACCCACAGGCATCGCTCCCGTCCAGCCGTCCTTACCATATGTGCGCTAGAAGGTTCTGGGTGAGGCCCGAGTGCATGAAGATCTCCTTCACCTCCTGGCCGCTCACGTAGCCGTCCAGGTCCAGGTCAGTCTTCAGGAAGATCTCGTCAAACCGCATCTTGTCCGCCACCGGCACCACCCAGTTCACTGTTGGCTGAGACGGTTTTGTAACAATGGTTAGCCTAGGGGCCCGCAGACGGCATCGAGGTTAAGGTGGCTAGATCTCATGTAGCCAACACCATAGTTTGAGTCCTGGACCTGGTGGCTTGAAAATCACTCCGGATGTGTTGTGCCCAAAATCACAGGAGGAAAGTGGAGAAGGGATTGTGGCGTGGCCATTCCCCTGGGGGGTGACTTCTCACTTTCTCTCTCTCTCTCTGTTGAGTGCACGCACCCTATGGCAAAAAATTTTTTTAAAAATTAAAGGGGAAAAATAAATAAATAGAGCACTGTTTTGATTTTTGTTTTTTTTTTTTTTTTGAGAGATTTTCGCTATAGGGCACGTGCGCTCACCAGACAGACAGAGAGAGACGGAGAGACAGAAAGCAAGAAATCACCCCCCAGAGGGGATGGTCACGCCGCAATCCCTTCTCCTCCATTCTCCTCTCGGGATCTTGGGCTCGCACGCACACGTGCCTGGCGTGAGTTTTAAGCCACTGGGTCCGGGACATGAACCACGGTCGACTACGTGGGAGTCCAGCGACATAGCCATTACGCTAACTGCTGGTTCCCATAAATAGAGCACTGTTTTGAAAAAAGGTTAACCTCGGGGGCAGCAAATGGCAGAGAGGTTAAGGTAGCTAGAGCCCATATAACTGACTCTGCAGTTCAAGTTCTGGACCTAGAGGCTTAAAAATCCTGCATGTGCATGTGCCCGTGTGCCCAAGAGAAGACTGGAGGAGAAGGGACTGTGGTGTGTCCATCCACCTGGGGTGGGGGTGGTGATTTCTCACTCCCCGTTCCACCCCCGTTTCTCTGTGGCGAGTGCATGCGCTTTGTAGCAAAAATCTATAAATAAAACAAATGAATAGAAACCTAAAAAAAAAAGTAAGATTACTCTGGAAGCTTTCTATGACTGACGGTGGGATGATGGAAGTGTTTTCTTTTTCTTTTTCTTTTTTTTTTTTGGTGAGGTCTTTGCTATAGGGCGTGTGCGCTCTCCAGAAAGACAGAGACAGACAGAGAGACAGAAAGCGAGAAATCACCCCCCAGGGAGGATGGTCACACCGCAATCCCTTCTCCTCCATTCTCCTCTCGGGATCTTGGGCATGCATGCATGCACACACGCCCGGAGTGAGTTTAAGCCACTGGGTCTGGGACTCGAACTGCAGTCGACTACATGGGAGTCCAGCGACATAGCTATTATGCCAACTGCTGGTCCTGATGAAAGTGTTTTCAAACACACCCGGGATCCAACTGTCCCCATGACTGCGTGAGCAGAGAAGGCAGACAGGATCGCTGTCCTGTGAGTAGGGAAACTGAGGCAGAGACAGATGCTGGCTGGATCCAGCCCCTGCCCTGCCCCACGCTCACCCGCTCGGCTGTACTTAGAGGTGACGGGGCAGCAGGATGAGGCCTGGATGCCCAGGGCCCGGTACCTGTGTTTGTTTGATGCTGTGCTTAGGGGACAGGCTCCCCGTGCTGTTGAGGCTGCTGACGCTGCCGTGGGACGGTGTGGAGCGGAGGCTGTCTTTGGGCGGAGGGCTGGCGGGCAGGACAGGCACGGCGCCGGGGAACACAGTCTTCTTTCTCTTGGAGGGTGGGATGAGGGACGGGGGCAGGACGGAGGGCACGGGCTCCTTCTCGAGGGCTCGGTACACCAAGTGCATGGCCTGTGAGGACAAGCGAGACGGCGCTGACGTGGCCGGGCAGGGCGGGGGCTGTGAGAGCTATCAGAAGGCAGGCGGTGTGTGGCGTGGTGGTTAAGGCTCCCACATGGCCGACCGCGGTTCAAGTCCCAGACCTGGCAGCTTGCTTTCTCACTTTCCCTCTCTTTTTCTCTGTCTGGTTAAATTTAAAACATAATAATAAATTAAAATTAAATAAATAAATAATTCTCGGGGGGGGGGGGGTGGGGGGAAGGGGAGGGCGGGCCTTGGGAATAAAATGAAGACTTTTTGTAAGGATGTTTCCCAGGAAACCAGAGTAAAAAAATATTTTCTGATGCGTTATCCTTCAGTGTGTAACTTTCCAGAATATTCATTACATGAGATTGAAGTGAGCACAGAAAGAATTGAATCCAGGACTGACAGCGATACGGTGGCCGGACCCACATGCAAAGGTCCTGGGCTTGTGTCCAAGGTCTCCCCGTGCATGCTGGGAATGCATGTGTATGCTGTGAGTCAAGCTGGATAAGGCCAGGGGTGGATCATGTAGTCGACTGTGGTTCAAGTCCCGGACCCGGTGGCTTAAACTCACGCCTGGCGCGTGTGCGTGCGTGCCCAAGATCCTGAGAGGAGAATGGAGGAGAAGGGATTGCGGCGTGGCCATCCCCCCTGGGGGGTGATTTCTTGCTTTCTGTCTGTTTCTCTCTATCTTTCTGGCGAGCACACATGCCCTATAGCAAAAACCTCTCCCCTTCAAAAAAAATTAAATAAATAAATAATACATAGAATTAAATAATTCTTCTTTACAGATAATTATTTTATTGAACTTTATTTATTTATTTGTTTGTTTATGTATTTATTTATTTTGATTCGACCAGAGAGGGACAGAGTGAGAGAGAAAGAGAGAGATGGAAAGTGAGAAAGCGAGCTGCCAGGTCTGGGACTCAAACATCGGTTGGTCATCTGGAAGTCCAGCGTCATTAACCATCATTACCCATCATGCCCCCTGCCGGCCCCAACAGATAATTCTTTAAAAAAAAAAAAAAAAATAGAAATGTACTGAAACAGAAATGCCAGGGAGTGTGGGAGGAGGGTATTCACAAACTCACAAACATTCTATTACTAACATTTCTATATATTCAGAATTCTGTCAGAGTGAACTCTCAAAATATTAGAGAGGGACCAACAGATGGCGTCACGGTTACGTCACATCACTGGACTCCCACCTAGTCGGCTAGGGTTCGAGTCCCAGACCCAGTGGCTTAAAACTCACACTGGGCACGTGTGCGTGCATGCCCAAAACTCCGAGTGGAGACTGGAAGGGAAGGGACTGTGGCCTGGCCATCCCCCTAAGGGGTGATTTCTCACTTTCTGTCTCTCTATCTCTGTCTCTCAGACAAGTACACATGCGCTATAGCAAAAATCTCTCTTAAGAAAGAGATAAAAAGAAAGAAAGATAGATAGATTAGCGAAGAAAGGGCCAGTATGTGGTATGATTGAAACACTGGAATCCCACGTGACTGACTACGGTTCAAGTCCCGGACCTGGCAGCTTGCTTTCTCACTCTCCCTCTCTTTTCTGTCTCTCTCTGGTCAAAATTGAAGAATAATGATAATAAATAAACTTAAAAGTAGATAATCCTTAAAAAAAAAAAAAAAAAACCGAGGAGACAAATCCAGGAACCCCCACGTGGACTGTACATGCTCCCCCTCAGGTGGGGGAGACACAGCGGGGCAGCGGGGGCGCCTACCACAGCAAACTCATCTCGGTCCAGGTGCCCGTCCTTGTCGATGTCGCTGAGGTCCCAGACCTGCAAGGGACAGACAGGTAAGGGCTACTGAGGGGCAGGACCCGGGTGAGAGCAAGGCCCACCCACCAGAACAGAGTCTGAGCCCACTGCGTGGTCAGGATGGGGTCACTGAAGCACATTCGAGCAGGCCAGGCTTGTGCGAGTGTCCCCCAATCCCGACGGGATGGTGAGGTGGACAGATGGAGGAGGAGGGGTCGCAGCGTGGCCATGCCCCACTAGGGTGCGTTCTCCCTCTCTGCATGTCGTGTCTCTCTCTGGTGAGCACAGACATCCTCTGGCAATGAGGCAGCCTCCCTAGCCTCTGCCCACCAGAAGCCAGCAAAATCCCACCCAGGTGTGACACCAAAACGTCTCCAGACCCTACTCGAGGTTCCTGGGGCCCCAGTTGTCAGTGAGAACCCGGGCTCTAACCCAGGCCAGGCTGCCCCCCACCTCTGAGCCTGCACTCCAGCTGTCAAGCACCAGACCTCACCCCACCATCTGTCTCGATCTGATCCCCTCACCCTGGAGGCTGTAGCCTGGGGCACCTCTTCCAGGAGGCCCTCCTGTCTGCCTGCGCCCCCTGCTGTGGGTCGGGAATCTTCCCCTCTACCACTGCCCTCACAGGACAGTGCAGGGATGATCAGGGAGGTGGGCTGGGAGAGGAGGGGCAGAGAGGACCGCAGGCCTGGGGGGCAACGTAGGACGCCATCCCTTCTCTACCCTTTGCTGGCCTGTGACCCGCACCAACATGTGGACTTCCCTGAAGGCCCCTCTTTCCCAACCTGAAAAATGGGGTGACACCATCCATAACCGGGGCTGATGAGCTCATCAGGGCGGAGTGCTAACATTCACACCTGGGCCACCGCTTACCTGTCTGACTGCTGGGACTCTGGCCAATCCCATCCCCTTCCTCCCAGGGCACGAGGGCCCGGCCCAGCATAGGCTCTGACAAATCCCTACTGCGTGATGGGCAGAAGACGCGTGCTGTGTGCACGCCTGGGTGCCCAGAGGTGCACGCGCAGAGATACAAATGCACAGGTGCACGGCTGCACAGATGCATACGCTGCATGGGTCCATGCGTGCACAACAGATGGATGCATGGATGCACACGAGATGACTGTCTAGATATGGGTGCGTGGACAGGCGGCTGCACACATGCATTGATGCCTGGGGAAATACACCGCACAGGGCCATGGGTGTACAGGTGCATGCACAGATATGGATGCCTGGGTATGTGGGTAAACGGGTGCATGTGTAACTGCATGCATGTAGGAACGTGTGGGGACACCCGCTGCCGAGGTGTGCGGGTGCACAGAGGAGAGACTGCACACATATGGGTACGTAGGTGCATGTGTAACTGCATGCATGCAGGAACGTGTGGGGACACCCGCTGCCGAGGTGTGCGGGTGCACAGAGGAGAGACTGCACAGATATGGGTATGTAGGTGCATGTGTAACTGCATACATGCAGGAACGTGTGGGGACACCCGCTGCTGAGGTGAGAGGGTGCACAGAGGAGAGACTGCACAGATATGGGTATGTAGGTGCATGTGTAACTGCATGCATGTGCAAATGTGTGGGGACACCCACTGCCGAGGTAAGAGGGTGCACAGAGGAGAGACTGCACAGATATGGGTATGTAGGTGCATGTGTAACTGCATACATGCAGGAACGTGTGGGGACACCCACTGCCGAGGTGAGCGGGTGCACAGAGGAGAGACTGCACACATATGGGTATGTAGGTGCAAGCGTGACCGCATGTATGCACGAAAGAGACAGTACAGATATGGGTATGCAGGTGCATGTGCAACTGCATGCATGCAGGAACGTGTGGGTACACCCGCTGCCGAGGTGTGCGGGTGCACAGGAGTGAGTGCACATATATGGGTATGCAGGTGCATGTGTAACTGCATGCATGCAGGAACATGTGGGTACACCCACTGCTGAGGTGAGAGGGTGCACAGAGGAGAGACTGCACAGATATGGGTATGTAGGTGCATGTGTAACTGCATGTATGCATGACCGTGTGGGTACATCCACTGCTGAGGTGTGCGGGTGCACAGAGGAGTGACTGCATACATATGGGTATGTAGGTGCATGTGTAACTGCATGTATGCATGACCGTGTGGGTACATCCACTGCTGAGGTGTGCGGGTGCACAGAGGAGTGACTGCATACATATGGGTATGTAGGTGCATGTGTAACTGCATGCATGCACAACCGTGTGGGGACACCCACTGCCGAGGTGTGCAGGTGCACAGAGGAGTGACTGCACACATATGGGTATGTAGGTGCAAGCTTGCACGCATGTATGCACGAATGCACGGGGAAATGCACTGATGCGCGGCTACATAGATACGTGAGCACGAAGACGCATGCATGCACAAACGTGTGGATGAATGGACTGCTCGGGTGCATGCATGCATGGGTGCATACATGACGTGGTTGGCAGGTGGAGGGACAGAGGGACAGATGACAATGACCCCTGTGTTCCATGACCTAGAGCTGGGCAGAAGCCAAGCAGGACCTGCCCTTCCCAGCCATGGCTCCCTTTCAATGAGCGCACTCCCCCGCTGTTGGTCTCTGCTTGACAAGAGCCAGCTGTTTTGCAAGAACCGCCAAATGAACGCACGCGCCGACAAGCACAGGTCACCATGTCCTGCTGCAATGACAGCAACGCCTCGTAACGCCCTTGGGGATCAGTGTGGGTCCCCGTGCAAGAGCTCACCTCCACCATGGCCGACACGGCGGAGGAACTGAGAGGTCCCTGTTACTGCCGCCCTGATTCAAATACAGGATCAAGGCGGGCTCTGCGAGGCACGCGCAGACCAAGCCAGGACCTGTGAACACGCCTTGTAGGTTTTAGGGCGAGAGTCGGGACCAGCAGATGGTGTAATGGTTACGTCGCTGGACTCCCGTGTAGTCGACCGACTGCAGTTCAAGTTCCAGACCCGCGAGCTTAAGACTCACACCGGGCGCGTGTGCGTGCGGAGCTTAAGACTCACACCGGGCGCGTGTGCGTGCGTGCGTGTGTGCCCAAAATCCTGACAGGAGAATGGAGAAGGGATTGTGGCGTGGCCACACACCAAGGGGTTGATTTCTCACTTTCTGTCTCTCTGGTAGGTCCACATGCCCTAGAGCAAAAATCTCTCTAGAAAAAAGACGACAGTCGATGTGAGTGCTGTTACCAGGTCCCAGGGTAGGCCTGAATTTGTGTCTTCCCCCCAGGTTCTGCTAAAGGTCAGGGCATCTAGGGCTGGGGATGGTGGGAACCACACATGGGCCTCCCACCCTAGGGCTGAACCTCCACCCGCCCCATCACAGGAATCCCATTCAGACAGACAATCGACGACCATCCTCTAAGTCCAGATGGGGGTTCACACGCACACAACCATGTGGAGCGAGACTGTGCACAGGGCAAGCACACAAAGGCCACAAGGCAAACCTTGCTGGAGGGAGAACAGTCTAGAATTGAAATTTGTACCTAAAAAAACTTGTATTTAGGGACCAGCAGACAGCATAATGGCCAGGTCACTGGACTCTCATGTAGTTGATTGCAGTTTGATTCCCGGACCCGGTGGCTTAAACTCCCACCAGGCGTGTGTGCGTGCATGCCCAAGATCCCGAGAGGAGAATGGAGGAGAAGGGATTGCTGTGTGGCCAACCCTCCTGGGGGTGCTTTCTTGCTTTCTGTCTCTCTGTCCCTGTCTTTCTGGCGAGTGCACGCGCCCAATAGCAAAAACCTCTCCAGCTGGGCGGTGACACAGTGACACGGGAACTGTGCTCACAGGAAGGTGTGGGGTTTGCATCATCCCAGGGCGTCCCTGAGCGAGCTGGGCACGTGCCCCTGAGCTGGGCTGGCTGAGACTGCAGTGTAGGGACCTGAGGGTTTTCTCTCTCTCTCAAGGAATAAATGAACTTGAAAAAGTCTAGAAAAGAGGGGCCAGCAGGTAGTGTGATGGTTAGGGCACTGGTTCCCACATTGGCTGAGCACGGTTCAAATCCCACATCTGGTGGCTTGAAAAATCACACCAGGCGTGTGTGTGTGCGTGCCCAGAATCCCAAGAGGAGGATGGAAGAGAAGGGACTGCGGAGTGGACATTCCCCCTAGGGGGTGAGCTCTCTCTCTGTCTCTCTCTCTCTCTCTGTTTCCAGTGAGCACATGCACCCTACAGCAAAAACCTAAAAGAGGAAAGTAAGGAAAAGAAATAGATACAGACACGCACCCTTACACTCAGCACAACGGAAAGAAGGAAACACGGCTCTGGGTTTCCGGCTCGCTCTGCTCATCCCAGGCCCAGGCTGCAATTCCACGTCGAAGCCCGCCCTCCCCTCTGGAGGGTTCCAGCACATTCTCCACGTACCAGGATGCACGTGGGAGCCGCCCCCTACACCGCCCACAGCTAGTTCGACCGTAGCAAAGGCTGATTCAGGGAAGGCCTCTGTGGCCTAGGACTGTGGGCTAAGCGAGAGCGTCCCGCGTGTCCGAGGGGAGGAAGGATGGAGACGGCCAGACACGGCCGAAGTGCCCGGCCCACTCACCCTGCCCAGGACGTCGAGAGGTAGCTTAGAGTTCATGAGGACCGGCTTGACTTTGTCTCCAGAGAGCAAGCCGTTGATGGGCAAGAGGCTTTCGAAGATCCCATCGAACTTGGCCTTTTCTTCCACCTGGTTGGAGAGGAACGGGCTGAGTGAGGAAAGGGCGGGCCTGAGTGTGTGTGCACCGAGCTCTGACCCAGGGCCCAGTGGCAATGGCCACGGAGGCTGGCTGGGGGCGCAAGCGTAGAACACGACAGATAGACGGACCCACATGGGAAGGCCCTGGGTAGGATCCACAGACCTCCCTGAGGGATCAGGGCTGGCTGAGGGGAGGGGTGGATCACAGCATCTCGACCCTGCAGGGGGTGCTGTCTCTGTCTCTGTCTCCCTCTTATTCATGGAAAAAAGAAATAATTAAACTTAAATAGAAAAACAAAATGGCCAGGGACCAGCAGTTAGCGTAATGGCTACGTCGCTGGACTCCCTTGTAGTCGACCTTCAGTTCGAGTCCCTGACCCGGTGGCTTAAACTCACGCCGGGCACGTGTGCGTGGTGCCCAAGATCCCGAGAGGAGAATGGAGGAGAAGGGATTGCGGCGTGGCCATGCCCCCTGGGGGTGATTTCTCACTTTCTGTCTCTCTGTCCTCTCTTTGTCTGGCGAGTGAATGTACCCTATAGCAAAAACCTCTTAAAAAAAAAAAAAAATGGCCACAGGCCCAGCACTGTCCTTGGCCAGGAGCATGAGATGGACTGAGAACAGTCTTGGCCCTGGGGCTGACGGTGTGAACTGATACCCTGAAGGAGACCCAGGGCAACTCAGAGCTGGGGGCCGGAGTGAACAAGAGAGAGGACCTGGCTCACGGCTTCTTCGTCTGGGCAGAGCCAGCGTGGGAAGAAAGAGCGTCCTCAGAGAGACAGATTACGCCTACCTACCTCCAACGAGCTGCTAGTGAGAGAAAGATGAGAACATCAACACGAGACCAGCAGATGGTGAAATGGTTATGTCACTGGACTCCCAAGGAGTCAACCATGGATCGAGTCTCAGACCTGGTGGTTTAAAACTCACGCCGGGCGCGTGTGTGTGTGCGTGCCCAAGATCCCGAGAGGAGAATGGAGAAGGGATTACAGCGTGGTCATTCCCCCGGGGGGTGATTTCTCGCTTTCTATCTCTCTATCTCTCTGATGAGCACATACACACTATAGCAAACATCTCTCAAAAAAAAAAAAAATAGCATAGGGACCAGTAGTTGGCATAATGGTTATGTCACTGGACTCCCATGTAGTTGACTGCGGTTTGAGTCTCAGACCTGGTGGCTTAAACTCACACTAGGCATATGTGCATGTGTGCCCAAGATCCCGAGAGGAAAATGGAGGAGAAGGGATTGCGGCATGGCCATCCCCCCTGGGGGGTGATTTCTCGCTTTCTATGTCTCTGTCTCTGTCTGTCTTTCTGGCGAGTGCACGCGCCCCATAGCAAAAATCTCTCTAATAAAAAACGGCATTAATAGATTTTAGTTCTTTTTTATTTTGTTTTATTTTATTTATTTACTTTAATTTGAGCACAGAAGGACTGAGTGAGAGAGAAAGTGAGAAAGCAAGCTGCCAGGTCTGGGACTTGAACTGCAGTAGGCCATGTGGGAGTCCCTTAACCACCGCGCCACCTGCCAGTCCCAGATTTTAGTCCTAAAGCAAAGAATTATCAAAATCAACTTTAAATACAGGAAGATCTCAGTTTCTAACAGTTAAAATATAAATAATAAAAGCTTTGGGAGCAGGACCAGCAGACGACGTAATGGTTATGTTGCTGGCCTCCCATGTAGTTGACCACAGTGTGAGTCCTGGATCCGGTGGCTTAAAAAAACTCATGCTGGGCACATGTACATGCGTGCCCAAAATCCTGAGAGGAGAAGGGATTGCAGTGTGGCCATCCCCATTGGGGGGTGATTTCTCACTTTCTGTTTCTCTGTCTCTGTCTTTCTGGCAAGCGCATGTGCCCCATAGCAAAAATTTCTCTTAAAAAAAAAAACTTTGGGGGCTAGCCAGGTGGCATGGCGGTTTATGCGACTGGATCCCACATGACCAACTTTGCAGAGGGGAAGGGACTGAGGCATGGCCATTTCCCCAGGGGAGTGACTTCTCACTTCCCCTCTCTCTCTCCAACGAGCACACGCATCAAATAGAAAAAATCTCTCTTGAAAGAAAAAAATCACGCCAGAAGGTACATGCACTTCCTAGAGAAAGCAAGAGAGAGGGACCAGCAGTTAGCATAATGGCTATGTCACTGGACTCCCATGTAGTTGACCGCAGTTCGAGTCCTGGACCCGGTGGCTTAAACTCACGCCAGGCGCGTTTGCGTGCTTGCCCAAGATCCCGAGGAGAATGGAGGAGAAGGGATTGCGGTGTGGCCATCCCCCCTGGGGGGTGATTTCTCGCTTTCTGTCTCTCTGTTTCTTTCGGTCTGTCTGGCGAGCGCACGCGCCCTATAGCAAAACTAAAAAAAAAAAAAAAAAAAAAAAAAAAAAAAACCCCAGAAGCCAACTCCTGAAATTTAGCTAGTCATCCCAGGAGGCCACTGTCCACTCCAGCAAAGGACCACTGCATTTTCAAAGGACTTTCAAATTAAAATGGCTTCCACACAAATTCTGCAGCCACTCGCACTCCAACAGGACAGGGGCCACAATCGTCCAGTGGGATGTTCTGAATGACATCATACGCGGCTAGAACAGTTCCCCATGGTTCCCCATGAGGGACAGCCAAGCGCCATCCCGGGGACTTACCCTCACGGCCCAGTGGGCCTCTGCGGAAGGCGGCGTGACCATCAGCGGGCTGCTGGTGTCATGCTGGAGAGAAACAGAAACATTCCATGGAAGTTAACGCTGAATTGCATTGCGGGAGGACGTGTTTATCTAAAAGGGTACAGATTTCCTGGGGCCAGCAGGTGGCGTGGTGGTTAAGGCTCTGGACTCCCACATGGCCAACCGCGGTTCGAGTCTCGGACCTGGCGGCTTGCTCTCTCTCTCTGTCCCTCTCTAGTCAAATTTAAAAAATAAAGTTAAATAAATAATATTTTTTAAAAAAGAAAAGGGTACATATTCCCAAGTGCTTTTAAGGAAAGAGAAGGGCCAGGGATGGCAGGTAGCATGGGGGTTGAGGGCATTGGACTCCCACATGGTCAACCGCAGACCTGGACCTGTCCCAGACCAGGCGGCTTGCTTTCTCACTCCCCCTTCACTCTGTCCCTCTAAATAAATAAATGAAGTTAAATAAAATAATTCTTTAAAACAAAGAGAGAGAGGGAACAGCCAACTAGCGATGTGGTGATTAAAGCGGCTGGATGTCACATGGCCTTGGCCCAGGACCTGGTGGCCTGAAAAACATGCTAGCTGGAGCACTGCACTCCCACATGGTCGACCACAGTTTGAGTCCTAGACCAGGCAGTTTGCATTCTCACTGCCTCCCCCTCCCCCGGGGAGCATACATGCCCTACGGTAAATTTAAAAAGAAGAAAAAAAATAATTAAAAGAAAAAAAAAAGAAAGCAAACCATGCTGGGCATGTGGACACGTGGACCCAAACACCAAAGAGAAGGGATGGTGGCATAACCATCTCCCCTTGGGGGTGCTTTCTCACCTTCTGTCTCTGTCTCTTTCTGTCTCTCTCTAGCGAGTGCACATGCCCAATAGCAAGATTTTTAAAAAAAAGAAAAGAAACGGAAGAGGAGCCAGCAGGTGTCATGGTGGTTGAGGCGCTGGGACCCCACATGGCCGACGGTGGTTTGAGTCCCGGATCTGGTGGTTTGCTTTCTTGTTTTCCATTTCTCTTTCTCTCTCTCTAACTCTTTCTGGTCAAAATGAAATAATAGTAATAAATAAAATAAAATAAAAAATTCTTTAAAAAAAAAAGAAAGACAAAAGGGGGAATGCCTCAAAAAGTTAAAAACAGAATTGCCACGGAATCCAACAATCCCACCCCCAGGTGAAGACCCAAAGAAATACAAAACGGGGGAACCAGCAGTTAGCGTAATGGCTATGTCGCTGGACTCCCACATAGTCGACTGCGGTTCGTGTCCCGGACCCGGTGGCTTAAAACTCACGCCGGGCGCGTGTGCGTGCGTGCCCAAGATCCCGAGAGGAGAATGGAGGAGAAGGGATTGCGGCGTGACCATCCCCCCTGGGGGGTGATTTCTCGCTTTCTGTCTCTATGTCTCTCTCTGTCTGTCTGGCGAGCACACGCGCCCTACAGTGAAAATCTCTCCAAAAAAAAAAAAAAAGAAAGAAATACAAAACGGATATTCAAACACATCCTTGCATGCAAGCACTCCTGGCAACAGGGTCCCATCAGCCACAGAGGATGACTGGATCAAGGAGATGGGGCCCCGTCTCATGGTGGAATACTACTCAGCCATCAAAAAGACTGAGGCACGGGCCAGCGGGCGGCCGAGCGGTTAAGGTGCTAGATCCCACGTGGCTGGCTCTGTGGCCTGCGTCCCGGACCTGGCAGCTTAAAAATCACACGTGTATGTGCGCCTAGAATCCTGAGAGGAGGATGAAGGGGAAGAGAATGCAATGTGGTGATCCCCCCGGAGGGTGATTTCTCACTTTCTGTCTCTGTCTCTCTCGGGCAAGTGCACAGCCTATGGCGAAATAATCTAAAAAAGAGTGAGACACTGACACAGGTCACAGTGTGGATGACGCTCGGACACACGGCCCTGAATGAGAGAAGCCAGACTCCAAAGGCCACATGGTGTGGGATCCATTCAAGAGAAATGTCCAGAACAGGCAGACCGGCAGGGACAGGAAGTAAGTCAGTGGTTGCTGGTGACGAGGGGAGCGATTTAGAGCGACCGCTGATGGGGACCGGGTCTCCTTCGCAGAGGATGAAAATGTTCTGACACTGGCTGGAGGCGGTGGCTGGACAGCAGTGTGAATGGACCGGAAGCCACGGAACTGTACACTTCACGATACTCAATTTTAGGGGCAGGAGGGGGTGTGGTGGTTAAGACGCTGGATCCCACATGGCCAGCTCTGCGGTTCCAGTCCTGGACCTTGGCAACTTAAAAATCATAGCAGGTGGGACCAGCAGATGGTATAACGGCTACGTTGCTGGACTCCCATGTAGTCGACCACTGTTCGAGTCCCGGACCCGGTGGCTTAAACTCACGCCAGTTGCATGTGCATGTGTGCCCAAGATTCCAAGAGAACGGAGGAGAAGGGATTGCGGTGTGGCCATCCCCCACTGGGGGGGGGTGATTTTTCGCTTTCTGTCTCTCTGTCTCTCTCTGTCTGGCGAGCGCACGCGCCCTATAGCAAAAACTTCTCCAAAAAAAAGAAAAAAAAAGGTTAATTTTATGTTTTTTGTTTGTTTGTTTGTTTGTTTTTCAATTTAATTGTGACCAGAGAGAGACAGAGCAAGAGAGAGAAAGTGAGAAAGCAAGCTGCCGGGTCCGAGACTCCAACTGCGGTTGGCCATGTGCAAGTCCAGTGGCCTTAACCACCGCGTCACCTGCTGACCCCAAATTTTATGTTATGTGAATTTCACTTCACCAAAGGAAAAAAGGGAAGGGGAAGGAAAACGTGGAGACACACACAGAGACGCACACGCGCGCACACACACACGCGTGCACGGGAGCAGGGGGATGTGAACGTGAAGGAGCTGAACACTCACGAACTTAGGCGGCGGCATGCTCAGGTTCAGATTGCTCAAGGTCACTTCATGGCCACTCTGCGCACAGGCCACGAGTCTCAGTGCAACGTAGAAACCCTGCAGGGGCAGAAAAGGGCAGCTGTGAGCCCAGGGAGGGCCAGGGGAGAGCTGTCACCAACAGCAGGAGCCACCTCGACGGGGAAGTCTGCCCGGACCAAAGCTGCTTAGAGCTGAGCTGGGCTCCTGAGGACACTGGGAAAATGCACCCACTAAAAAAGACTTAGTGCTGGGACCAGCAGTTAGCGTCATGGCTGTGTCGCTGGACTCCCATGTAGTGGACCGTGGTTCAAGTCCCGGACCTGGTGGCTTAAACTCACACTGGGCGCGTGTGCATGCGTGCCCAAGATCCCGAGAGGAGAATGGAGGAGAAGGGATTGTGGCGTGGCCATCCCCCCGGGGGGTGATTTCTCGCTTTCTGTCTCTCTGTCTCTCTCTGTCTGTCTGGCGAGTGCATGTGCCCTATAGCAAAAACCTCTCCAAAAAAAAAAAAAAAAAAAATGACTTAGGACTGGCCCCATAGTCTAGTGGCTAAGAAAGGTGGATCCCCATTGGCTGACCATGGATCAAATCCTGGCCCCAGTAGCCTGAAAAATACTCCTGGTCAGGGCCAGCAGATGGCATGATAGTTAAGGTGCTGGATCCCACACGGCCAACTGCGGTTCAAGTCCCAGACCTGGCACCTTGAAAATCAGACCAGGCCTATGTGGATGTAGGCCCCAAATCCCGAGAGGAGAAACGGAGAAGGGACTGCGGCGTGATCTTCCCCCCTGGGGGTGATTTCTCACTTTTTCTCTCTCCGGCAAGTGCACGAACCCTATGGCAAAGACTTAAAAATAAAATAAAATTCTTGGTGCGTGTGTTCATGTGTCCCAAATCCCAAAAGGATAGAAAAAGGGAGGAAGGATTGCAACATGATCAAGCCCCATTGGGGGTTCTCTCTCTCTCTCTCTCTCTTTCTCCAGCAAGGGCAAACACCCTCTGGCAATTAAAATAATTTTTTTCAAATAAAAATAAATTTCATAGGGACCAGTAGATGGTGTAATGCTTATGTCGCTGGATTCCCACATAGTCAACCGTGGTTCGAGTCCCAGACCTGGCGGCTTAAACTCACGCGGGCACGTGTGCGTGCGTGCCCAAAATCTCAAGAGGAGAATGGAGGAGAAGGGCAAAAATCTCTAAAAATTTAAATAAATAAATAAATTTCACAGAACTATACGCTCTCTCCTGACCACAGATTTTAAAAAAATATAATAAAAATAGTGAAACTAACTTGTCCACCCTGATGGAGGCCTGTCACTTAGTATTGCACCAATACCCACTTCCTGGCTTTGAGCAGTGCGCTCTGGTTATGCAAGGTGCTAGGCCTTGAGGAGGGCTGGCGTAAGACACACGAGAACTCTACAAACTATTTTTTTTTTTAAGAGTTTTTTTTCTTTTTCTTTTTTTTTTTTTTTTCTTGCCATAGGGCCCATGCACTCGTCAGAAAGGCAGAGAGAGACAGAGAGACAGAAAGCAAGAAATCACTCCTTGGGGGGATGGCCACGCCGCAATCCCTTCTCCTCCATTCTCCTCTTGGGATCTTGGGCATGCACGCACATGCGCCTGGCATGAGTGTAAGCTCCCAGGTTCAGGACTCGAACAGCAGTCGACTACATGGGAGTCCAGCGACATAGCCATTACGCCACCTGCTGGTCCCTCTCCAAACTATTTTTGCAATTTTAGACCTTAGAGTCTAAAATTATTGCGAGATTAAAAACCTTTGAAGACATTTCCGTCATCTGTGAGTACAGAGGATATTAAAAAGATATTACACCCTTAACTACTAGTCGGTGGGTGGCCCTGGGGACTAGTAGTTAAGGGAGACAGATCTCCTGTGGTTCAAATCCCAGTCCCTGTGGCTTGAAAAACATGCCAGTGCATATGTATGGGTGCATCAAATCCCAACGGGGTACAGAAATGGAAAAGGGACTGAGGTGTGACCACATCCCACTAGGGGTCCTTTCTCTCTCTCTCTCTGTCTCTGTGTGTCTTCAGCTCTCTTTGGCTAGTGCACATACCCTCTAGCAATTTTAAAAAAGAATAAATAAATAGAGGTCAGCAGGTGACATAGTGGTTAAGATGCTGGACTCCCATATAGCCGACTGCAGTTCGAGTCCCGAACCCGGTGGCTTAAACTCACGCCGGGCGCATGTGTGTGCGTGCCCAAGATCCCGAGAAGGAGGAGAAGGGATTGTGGTGTGGCCATTTCCCCTGGGGGGTGATTTCTCACGTTCTGTTTTTCTCTGTCTCTTGGGTGAGCACATGCGTCCTATAGCAAAAAATCTCTCTCAAAAAAACGACTAAATAAATAAATAAGAGCTATATTAGCCATGCGTGTTTCGAGACCTGCCTTCCATGTTAATTGGAGAACTACCCTCAGGTCTAATATGCCTTGACAAGGGAGAATCGAGGAACTGCGGAAGTTGCCCAGCCTGGGGGGGCGCTCTGACCTGGCCCCCGCCCCGTGCTGGGGGTACTTGTGTATATACCTGTTTGTCCAAGAACCCTTTACCTTCTGGGTCGGCCAGGTCCCATATCTGTAGAAAAACAAAAATGCTGGTGAGTGTGACTGCCGATCGATCCCCACGCAGTGACAAAAACAGGGGCCACCAGCACCTCGCGGGTAAATGGCCCTTGTGATTGGCCTTGAGTCATCGCTCCCAGGCTGCAGGGGAAGAGGTGAACTCGGAGCCATGGACGCACAGGGACTGGGTGGACAGCCCGGAGGACACCCCAGGTCTACCCACTGCCAAAGCCAACGGTGTCTGCTGAGCCCTCACACCCTCAGCATAAATCCACAAGTGATCTGGGACCAGCAGATGGCGTAATGGTTACGTAGTTGGTTTCCCACGTAGCTGACCGAGGTTCGAGTCCAAGACCCGGTGGCTTAAAACTCACACTGGGTATATGTGCGTGCGTGCCTAAGATCCCAAGAGGAGAATGGAGGAGAAGGGATTATAGCGTGGCCGTCCCCCTGGAGGGGTGATTTCTGACTTTCTGTCTCTCTGTCTCTCCAGCAAATGGACATGTCCTATAGTAAAAAATCTCTCGGGACCAGCAGGTGGCGTGATGGTTAAGGTGCTGAAATTCCTACATGGTGGACCACAGTTCGAGTCCTGGACCTGGCGTCTTGCTTTCTCATTCTTCCTCTCTGTCTTTCTCTAGCAAAATTCATGTGAAAATAATAATAAATAAATAAAATCCTTCTTTAAAAAGTTCTCTAAAAAAATAAATAAACAAGGGTCAGCAGGTGGCGTGGTGCCTAAGAGTGCTGGACTCTCACATGGCCGACTGCAGTTTGAGTCCTGGACCTGACAGTTTGTTTTCTCACTTTCTCTCTCTCTCTCTCTCTTTCTCTCCCCCCCCTTCCCCCACCCCGGTCATGAATACAGTTTAATGGGACCAGCAGTTGGCATAATGGCTATGTTGCTGGACTCCCATGTAGTCGACCACAGTTCAAGTCCCGGACCCGGCAGCTTAAACTCACGCCAGGCGCGTGTGCGTGTGTGCCCAAGATCCCGAGAG